CTATTTCATAAATCAGAGCTGTCGGTGAAGCAATATAAAAATATGATCTTGTTCCATCTTTTAAATGCAGCCAAAAGTTTTATTCCTAAATATTGGCAAACAGAATCCCCATAAAGGACTGGATGTAAAGAGTTGAGTATATACATAGGATGGAAGAATTATACTATATAGATAAGGATAAAATGGAAACATTTAAGATGATCTGGGAAGGATGGCATATTTTCAAAAAATGTAAAAGATTTTTTAGAAGTGGTTAGAGTGTAGGAGAATAAAGAAATTAAATATGGAGATGGGGAAAACAGGGAAAATGTAAGGAGGAGAATTAATAAGATAGATTACCAAAAGAAGATCAAGAAGTAAGCGGAAGGACAGTAGGCAAGAGGCGTTTTTTTTTTTGGGGGGGGGGGCAAATATGGGAGTTGAGGTTGTAATTAAGTATAGATTTTTGTATTATAAGATGTTGATTTGAAACAGATTTGTATGATAAGAAATTAAAAAAGATATAATAAAATAAATCAGCTCTGGATGCAAAGATGGCCAAGTGGCGTAAATTAAACTATTAGCATGGCTCTGTCCATTACTGTGAAATAAAGTATTAATCTTTTAAAGAAAAAAAAAAAAGCTCAGTTGTTTTTACCTTTATGTATTCTGTGCATGAAGGTAGGAAACCTTCTGGGTGCTTTAGTATAACGTTAGGTCTGTTCTCTGACTAGACCATGCAAGGACATTCCCCTTTTTCTTCAACCACTGTGTGGTCATTTTTGCTGTGTGCTTTGGGTCATTATGTTGGAAAGTAAACCTTCTTCCAATTGACCACTTTATGGCAGAGGGCAGCAGATTTTCCTCAAGAATTTGACGGTATTTTGCCCCATCCATTTTTCCTCCTATCTTAACAAGTGCTCCAGTCCTTGCTGCAGAGAAACACTACCACTTCCTTGCTTTACTGTAAGAAGGGTACTAGTTGGATGTACCAATAAATAAATAATTTGCGCTAGTAAATGTGTATAAAATATATATAAAGAAATCATCAAATCATAAGTCCAGAAAAAAATATATATATGCCAATACCACAAAAAAATATAAAAAAAAACTTTTAAGTGCAAAAAACTTTTGTGCAAAAAAAAGTGTCTAAATATGAAAATTTCACCAAAAAACCTTGATAATATAATGGCAGATCATCCATAAATATATCTTCAGAAACGGAAACTCTGCAACACACCGATCCTCATCGATCGAAATAACAAGATGAAAAACTTTGTAGTTAATCGAAAATCCACTTCTCCAATAGATAAAGGACCACCTTCAAACGTATCCATGGGGGGAAATGCCAAGCACTCGAGAGAAACAGAAAGACTTCATGGTGCAATATTATAAAAAACCAATTCCTTTATTAGGTACTCATTGCACTTACTCAAGAGGTGTCCCAGCTGACACCAGCATCAACAGCATAACAGCAATCACATAAACGAGCCTGGCTACTCAGCACATGCGCAGTAGCTGGCAGCCAAAAACGTAATGACGTCACATCAATCCTATATTTTTTTCTGGACTTATGATTTGATGATTTCTTTATATATATTTATACACATTTACTAGCGCAAATTATTTATTTATTGGTACACTTTATATATGGTGATTTTTTGCAGCTGGTACACTATTAGTAAGTTATATAATTTTGACCATAGGCGCTATTATTAATTTTTCTTACTAGTTGGATGTATTGGGTTTCCGCCAGACGTATCGTTTTTAGTGTTGAGGCCAAATAATTCAGTTTTAGTCTTATCTGACTGTAACACCTTTTTTCCATGTGGCCTCAGAATCTTCAAAGTGCGTTTTTGGCAAAGCTCAGTCATGACTGCATTTGGTTTTTTTTGAGGACAGGCTTTTTTCTTGCAACCCTCCCATACAAGCCAAATTTGTGGAGAATTTGGGATATTGTTGTCACATGCACACAATGACTTTTTGTCACAAATTCCTGCGACTGCTCAGAGTTGCTACATGCCTCTTGGTAGCCTCTGACCAGTTTCCTCCTGGCTCGTTCATCCAGTTTGCAGTGATGTCCTGATCCAGGGCGGGTCTTTGTTGTACCAAATATCTTCCACTTCTTAATAAAATGTTTCACTGCTTCTAGGCATTGATAAAGCCTTTTGAAATTTTTTGTATCCATCTCCTGCCTTTATCCCGGAGACCTTTTGACAGTGCCTTGCCACTTATAGTTGATTGTTTTCTTTAGTTGCGCTATCAGGAACTGAAATGCTTCATGAAAGCTCTTTTCATGCTGAGCTAATAAAATTGACCACAGCTGGTGACAGTTGAAAGTCAAATGGCTTTGTGTGCCATTGAGAAGGTGATTAGCTACACCTGATTGAGTCATTTTTAGGAGGGGGCGATCCTTTTGATCAGTGATTCTGTTTTTTTCTGACATGTTGGTGTTATATCTTTCACTTGTTCACTTGGATGTTATAAGTTGCACTGAGTAAATACAGCTGGATAAAACAAAAACAGTGTCTGTCTTCATTACAGGCTGCAAACCAACAAAATGTGATTATTTTAAAGGGGGGTGATTCTTTTCTATACCCACTGCATATATGTTGTGTTTTATGTTATATAGTTAATTCTATACCAGGGAAAGGCAACCTGTAGCAGCTAAACACCTCCAGGATTGAGATATACAGTTGCAAGAAAAAGTATGTGAACCCCTTGGGATTACGTGGAGTTTTTGCATGAATCGGGCATAAAATGTGCTCTGAACGTCATCTAAGTCACAACAATAGAAGAACACAGTCTGCTGAACATAATACTACACAAACATTAGATGTTGCCATGGTTTAATTGCACATAACATGTAAACATTCACAGTGCAGGGAGGAAAAAAGTATGTGAGGCCCTAGCTTAATGACTTCCCCCCAGAGCTAATTGGAGCCAGGAGTGAGCCAACCTTGACTCCAATCAGTGTGATGATATTGGATGTGTTGCTGACAGCTGTCCTGCCCTTAAAAAACACACACCTGTTTTGGGTTTACTGGTTTCAAGAAGCACTGTCTGATGTGAACCATGCCTTGCAGAAAAGAGCTCTCAGAAGACCTACGATCAAGAATTGTTGACTTGCATGAAGCTGGAAAGGGTTACAAAAGTATCTCCAAAAGCCTTGATGTTCATGTGTCCACGGTAAGACAGACTGTCTACAAATGGAGAAAGTTTAGCACTGTTTGCTACTCTCCCTAGGCATTGTCGTCCTGTATAAATGACTGCAAGAGCACAGCGCAGAATGCTGCATGAGGTAAAGAAGAATCCCAGAGTGTCAGCTAAAGACCTACAGAAATCTCTGGCACATGCTAACATTTTTGTTGACACATCTACAATAAGGAAAACATTAAACAAGAATGGAGTACATGGGAGGACACCACGGAGGAAGCCATTGCTGTCCAAAAAGAATATTGCAGCATGTTTGAAGTTTGCAAAAGAGCACCTGGATGTTCCACAGCACTACTGACAAAATATACTGTGGACAGATGAAACCAAGATTGAGTTGTTTGGGAAGAACACACAACACTATGTGTGGAGAAAAAAAGGCACAGCACACCAACATCAAAACCTCATCCCCACTGTAAAACATGGCGGAGGGAGCATCATGGTTTGGGCTGCTTTGCTGCCTCAGGGCCTGGATAGATTGTTGTCATTGATGGGAAAATGAATTCCAGAGTTTATGAAGACATTTTGCAGGAAAACGTACGACCATCTGTCCGCCAACTGAAGCTCCACAGAGGATGGGTGATGCAACAGGACAATGACCCAAAGCATACAAGTAATTCAACAAAAACAATGGCTGCAACAGCACAGAATACACCTTCTGGAGTGGCCCAGTCAGAGTCCTGACCTCAACCCGTCTGAAATGCTTTGGCATGACCTTAAGAGAGCGATTCACACCAGACATCCCAAGAATATTGCTACACTGAAACAGTTTTGTGAAGAGGAGTGGTCCAAAATTACTCCAGATCATTGTGCAGGTCTGATCTGCAACTACAGGAAACGTTTGGTTGAGGTTATTGCTGCCAAAGGAGGGTCAACCAGTTATTAAGTCCAAAGGTTCACATACTTTTTCCTCCCTGCACTGTGAATATTTACATGTTATGTGCAATTAAAATGGCAACATCTAATGTTTGTGTAGTATTATGTTCAGCAGACTGTGTTCTTCTATTGTTGTGACTTAGATGACGTTCAGAGCACATTTTATGCCCAATTCATGCAAAACTCCACGTAATCCCAAGGGGTTCACATACTTTTTCTTGCAACTGTATATATATATATATATATATATATATATATATTAATGCAGCTCTGTAAAAAAAAAAAAAAAAAAGACCTAAAAAGAATTGATCAATACGTGCTTCATGTAAAAATATTCCAACATAAATAAAGACGAAAAATTGTGTTTTACAATTCATCCCGTGTTCTGGAAATTAATTGTTATTGCGTGACTTCAAAACAAAAACATGAGCAACAAAAAAAAAACATGTTTTACGTGCTTCATATTAAAATAGTTCCACATAAATAAGGGAGTATCTCTTTCTGCTATCCATCTCCTTTTATTTTGGGCATAATCACAATTCCCACACGCTTTATCAGCTGGTCTTATAGTAATATTATTCTTTTTGTTCATCTTCTATACCTTTTCTTAAATGTTATAAAAATATAATCTTTTTATTTTCATTTGCTCCATTTTTTTAAATATATATCCACTTATTTGGTATTACCAATTTTGGGATTAAAAACAGATTTATTTATGGTAACAACTAGTTGTTTGCTAGTAGTGGCAATAATAATTTGTGTACAAGAACAGAACTTTTCACAGCATAATTAACTTAAATAATATGCATGAATTCAAACTAAAATTGTAGTTTTTAATCCACTATATGGCTAGCTGTGTAATTCTCAGTTTCACATATAGGTCAGCATAATAAAGAAGAGAAACAATTTTTATGTAACTTTTTTCCCCATAGGCAACACGCTCTGGCGGGACTTTAATTCTTGTTGGTCTGGGGCCTGCTATGGTCAATGTTCCAATTGTTAATGCAGCAGTGCGAGAAGTTGATATCAGAGGGATATTCAGATATTGTAATACGTAAGTAGATGTAATAAAGGCTTGAAATGTTTATAAACATCTTATCTGTGGCTTTTATTAGATGGATTGATTTTGACAGTTTATTTCTCACTTGCAGGTGGCCAATGGCTATCTCTATGTTGGCTTCTAAAAGAGTGAATGTAGCTCCATTGGTTACACATCGTTTTCCCTTAGAGAAGGCTCTGGATGCATTTGAAACTACAAAGAGAGGTGTAGGGGTAAAAGTAATGCTGAAATGTGATAAAGAAGACCAGAACCCTTAATAGTTGGTTTATATCGATTGAAAATCTCTAATATTTTTTCTGATGCTAATTTTTCAAATTTTGTAGACACTTAGGTAGCTGCAGTAATTTTAGGCAAAATAATTGAAGTTCCAGTACGGTGACCATCAAGAAAATCCATTTCAGAGTTTATTGGTGAACATTCATTAAATACAGTACTTTTTTATCCATACTTAATAGACAAGAGAAGAAATTACATTATTGATTGCATATATTTTCACCTTGCATCAGTGTGACCTAAAATAAAAGTTTCTTGTAACCTGAACATGATTTTTATGCTTTACATAAATTCTGTGGGTATGCGTTTTTGTCTTTAACAAATGGGTGAGTTGGCTATACTGCTAACATGTACAGTTTATGACGAATTCCCACTTTCGGAGAAACTGGCACATCTTATTGTTTTGGCATGAATCCGCATGGCTTTTTGATCTTCAGTAGATCATCAAATGTAGGAATAGCCACTTAGATATAATTTTAAACTTCTGTGGAAGCTTTTAAACTTCACAGTATACATCATAATGGGAAAGTTTCCTTTAGTGTACAGGCAATACACATTTGATAAATATTTCTCTATATGTTTTCAATGTTCTTTTCCCCAGGTTGCTCTTTGGGCATGTGTATTGTATGACATATATTATTGGCTACTTAACCACTTTTCACCTGACCTATTGTAATAATACAGCTGGGTGGGTGCTTTGCTGCGGTTCCACAAAAAATGAGACCTGTACATGTCCAGGTCACTTCCCCCTCCGGAGCAGAGCATGTACCTCCAATAGTTCAAATGGGTATCCTTTTTCCACACTTCTCTTCTTCTCTCAATGCGTGGATTGTCGGCAGGACATCTTCTTTTACTCACTATCCAGACAACTGGACTCTGAAATACCACCTCTCACTCATTGGATTACGAAAAGGACTTCAAAAATGTTACTACATGGTGCTTTTTCTGCTGTGTTGCGGGGTTTCTCTCCCGCGGGGAGCCTTCCTTAGTTGGTTGTCTCCTGGTGGAAGACAGATCTCTGATTGTTTGCAGTCAATTACAGCCTGAAGTTTGGAATGCATAGACATCACCAGACGCTGGGTTTCATCCCTGGTGATGCTCTGCCAGGCCTCTACTGCAACTGTCTTCAGTTCCTGCTTGTTCTTGGGGCATTTTCCCTTCAGTTTTGTCTTCAGCAAGTGAAATGCATGCTCAATCGGATTCAGGTCAGGTGATTGACTTGGCCATTGCATAACATTCCACTTCTTTCCCTTAAAAAACTCTTTGGTTGCTTTTGCAGTATGCTTTGGGTCATTGTCCATCTGCACTGTGAAGCCGCGTCCAATGAGTTCTGAAGCATTTGGCTGAATATGAGCAGATAATATTGCCCGAAACACTTCAGAATTCATCCTGCTGCTTTTGTCAGCAGTCACATCATCCATAAATACAAGAGAACCAGTTCCATTGGCAGCCATACATGCTCACGCCATGACACTACCACCACCATGCTTTACTGATGATGTGGTATGCTTAGGATCATGAGCAGTTCCTTTCCTTCTCCATACTCTTCTCTTCCCATCACTCTGGTACAAGTTGATCTTGGTCTCATCTGTCCATAGGATGTTGTTCCAGAACTGTGAAGGCTTTTTTAGATGTCGTTTGGCAAACTCTAATCTGGCCTTCCTGTTTTTGAGGCTCACCAATGGTTTACATCTTGTGGTGAACCCTCTGTATTCACTCTGGTGAAGTCTTCTCTTGATTGTTGACTTTGACACACATACACCTACCTCCTGGAGAGTGTTCTTGATCTGGCCAACTGTTGTGAAGGGTGTTTTCTTGACCAGGGAAAGAATTCTTCGGTCATCCACCACAGTTGTTTTCCATGGTCTTCCAGGTCTTTTGGTGTTGCTGAGCTCACCGGTACGTTCCTTCTTTTTAAGAATGTTCCAAACAGTTGTTTTGGCCACGCCTAATGTTTTTGCTATCTCTCTGATGGGTTTGTTTTGTTTTTTTTCAGCCTAATGATGGCTTGCTGCACTGATAGTGACAGCTCTTTGGATCTCATCTTGAGAGTTGACAGCAACAGATTCCAAATGCAAATAGCACACTTGAAATGAACTCTGGACCTTTGATCTGCTCATTGTAATTGGGATAATGGGGGAATAACACACACCTGGCCATGGAACAGCTGAGAAGCCAATTGTCCCATTACTTTTGGTCCTTTAACAAGTGGGAGGCACATATGCAAAGTGTTGTAATTCCTACACCGTTCACCTGATTTGGATGTAAATACCCTCAAATTAGAGCTGACAGTCTGCAGTTAAAACACATCTTGTTCGTTTCATTTCAAATCCATTGTGGTGGTGTATAGAGCCATAAATGTTAGAATTGTGTTGATGTCCCAATATTTATGGATCTGACTGTAGGTTCTAACCTTTCCCCGCTATATCAAAATCTATTAGAAAAAGCTTGGGTTAAAACAAGGTAATACATTTTATTTAAGATAATACATCACTTTGCTCATTTCGGAAAAAATAACAGGTTCTCTTGGACCTCTCACCGTCCATTACTCACCTTTACCTCAGTGCCTCAATCTCCTGTCACTTTGTTCCTCGGTCAGAATCTTCAGAAATATGTTTTCTCTAGCTATGGGACAGCCAGAGCCATAGCCATAAGGCCAAAAAATAGGATTACGAGTCTCATAAGAAAGAAGAAAAATAAACAGTGGGGAAAAAGTAGTAGTAGATAAAAATCAAATACACTGGAAAAAAAATACAAATACAAAAAACTCTAAGCTAAATTTAACTTATCTTACTGCACCCACCCCTTCCCCCACAAAATCCCTCTAATTAAAGCTAAAAAAAAAAAAAAAAAAAAAAGTATAGATTGTGTTTGTTTTTTTTCCATGCAAATTACACCTAATCAGTTCAATAAGTAACTAACATAACCCCCTTCTGTGAAATTTGGCAAAACCTGTAATTTCACAACAAAATCAATTTTCAACTAAATCACTCATTCATTCCTATCAATCATCTAAAGGTACTGTGACAGGAAGCCAGGAAAAACTATGGGTTGTATCCAGGATGGAAGATATATTTGTCCAAGGTTTAAAGGATAAGTTCAACTTTTGTAGCATGTTACATGTTACACCCATGTTCAGGGTGTAACATGTTACGATCAGACTGGCCCACGTACCCCCTCCGATCCCCGTTGTGACAGCTAGTGGGGGATTTCTCCCTGCTAGCTGTCACAATTTAATAAAAATGTGTCCGTGCGGGGCTCTGCCCAACGGGCTGCGTCACTCATTCACAGTGTTCTACGTCACTCATTCACCGTGGTAGTTCATTGAGTCTTCCGGTCAGTAAGTATCTGCTTGCCCGTACGGGGTGTACAAGAAAGCAGATACAGTGACAGGTCAGAGGGAGAAATGCATGGCATCATCCATCTACTGATTGCTGGTGCAATGCTTTAGAGGCTCCAGAAACAAAAATAATAAAAACATTTTTTTACTTGCAAAATAATGTTATTTTTAGTTAAAAGATTAACTTGTCCTTTAGGCAATACACAGATTTGTTTCCTTTTTGTGCTGTGTGTTGAGCCTGTTTGGCTCAATGAGGGCTTAATGAGCTCAGCTGAAGCAGGTGGAGCACTCTTAGCTCTATAAAACTCCCAGCCTGCTTAAGGAGTATGTTCCATCCTGGAACTAGATTTCTGTGCAGGACAGACTGGGAGCAGCCATTTACTTGATTGGTGAGATTAAGTCTGTGTGACTATGGATTCTGACGTATTCTGTGTGAAAGCCAAGAGCCTGGGCAGCAGTATGCTGTTTCAGGACAAGTAGTTAGGTTCCTGTGTTTGCAGCTAGATGGCCAACTTGACAAATGTTTATTTTCTGTTTTTGTTTTATTTTGCTGTTTTGAAACTTGCACTTTGTAACCGCAGACTTTATAAATAAACCACAATTGTGTTTCACAATGATCCTGCTGTTTTGCTGTGCCTTTTCACCATGCTGCGACTCATCCAGGGCGTCAAGCACAACCCACTACTGAGCCAATTCCTCACTGTACCTACACAGGCAACAGGCTTCAAAAACAAATACTTATGACCAAATAAAGGGCCATTCTAAGAAGCAAAGTTTCAACGGTTTCAGGTAGTTTGGAGCTTGTTGCCACTTTCCACCCTCATACAACCCTACTGGCCCATTGGCATGCTGAGCTGCTTCATTGGCTTATAGGAATGTGCAGAAGACAGGAGGGGATGGGAAAGATTCAACAATGTCTTGTTCTTCAACAAGAATAGAACTCAGATATAAGGACAAAGTTGTGGATATAGTAGGTATGTTTGTTGTAATTTATAAATAGGAGGTATATGTATTTTGTATCTGCAGCTATATTTTGTGCTAACAGTATCTGTTTAAAGCTGAACTCCAGGCAGGTATAAATGACACACATTAATGCAGCTTTGAATTAATGCATCATTAAATTGAAAAATGAAATTAATCTGATCTTTCCTGGATCTTAACCTTAATTCTCTTCCTGCTACAAAAGTATAGATGAAGTGGATTAACAATGATCAATTATTAGTGTTGCCTGGTATTTTATTCTCCACCTGTCACAATAGAGTAATTGCACAGGAATGAGGAAATTTAGTAAATCATCTTCAGATGTATTGAAGAACTGATGTTTGCCGATTACAGAATTTATATGTCAGTGGGTAGAATGAATATGCCAAAAATTCCTAATTTGCATGTGGAGTGCAAGCAAGAGTTGTGAAAATGCTTGGTGGTAACTCCTGCAGACCCTAGGCTCCTAGACAGCTATCATGCATCCACTATCCATAAATCCCATTGAGGGGCAATATGCATTCCAGCACTCAAGATCTCTACCCTTTGGGCTACCTATGGCAAAACTGGATCAGTGTCTTTTATATAAGGCATGCTGCCAAGGCTCAGAACTGAAAGAGGTTTTGGGCAGTAGAGTTGTAAGTCTTGGGAACTTCTGACACA